ACTTTTATGGACCATGAGTAAGAGAAGTGGTATCTAGAACGACTCAAGTCATGCCCTGGCCTCTCAATGGGTAATCCAGGCCTTGTATGTAAATATGAATTCTAAGCAGCCATTCACGCGAGTGCACGTAATTCCATCCCACAGCCTTGAGTCTGAGACCTCGCCCCTCTAAACCTCCGGGACTTCAGACGTTCCACTGGACACAAGTGTTAGGAGAGCCAGTTGGCTTGACAGTTGTTTTCAGGCACGAAGCCTGTTAGGGGTTCTAGCGAAGCCAAAGGGAAGCGCGGGGAGGGTCACGGTTTCAGGTGGCCCGTTGGAGAGCTCGCCGAGTAATAAAAAGGTTGTTACCTGTTCCAGTAAGCATTCCCGTTCATCGACAAGCTTTTTCAACCTAATATCTAAAGACATCAGAAAGACACAGGTTTAGGTGAGTCTGCAGGCGGCACCTTTCAGCTGACTGCTAGACTGAAGGATGAGGCTTCAGGTTAGTGAAACTGATGATGAAGGGATTATACACGTACCACAGCGAATGAGGCCACACACAGGACGGGGGAGAAGTCAGCCGCAGGAGGGTGAGTTGGGTCAACCTCCCACACATGCGTGTGTCGTCAGGGGCACGTCCAGCTGCATGCAAACAGGCTAATCTTCTCATTGGGGTTAGCATGCAAGAGCGCTAGGGCCAAACCACACTGCAACACAAGATCTCAAGGCTTCATGGTTTAACATCATTAGCAAGGTACAAACACACCAGAAATCACCAGGAATTACCGCTGGCACTGTCATTAGCCAGGGCCTTCCGAGTGTGCCTCCCGGAAGCATTTCTCTCTCACTTCTCTCATAGACTCACCCATGTCAGTGTTGACTGTACGTTTGCGAATCAGTCTGCTGACAACACGTCTGCTAACCTACTTGTCAAGTGCTTTTATTGTTTTGAGGGAGACTGTAGTAATAGTTTAGGTTTCTGTCATTCCTCCCACCCCAGGCACGTCAGGATGTGGATACGCAAGCTTTGAGAAATCTCCCTAAACTCCTCCCTAAAAGGGGACTGAGGAACGCAACCTTCAGGGTACGGGGGGAACCAAGGCCTTGGAGGGGTGAGGGGTTTGGGCAAAATACTACACCCGTTTAGAGGAAAATCAGGGTGACGAGATGGTGACAGGGACGCCCCTGGGTGTTGAGCCTTTGCTCTGCACCAGGCACTGTTCTGGCAGCTTATACCATCGGCCTCCTTCACCCCATGAAGCTCTGCGGGTGGACACTGTCCTTCTGTCCTTCTATAGACGGACCTGATGCCCAGCACAATGAAGCAGCTCTCCGAAGGCCTCACAGCCCAGCCTCGGGCCCCACTGCTAACGACTTCACTATTTTTCCAGATCTAAACTCAGACCTCTGAGCTGGACCCGGACGCCTGGCCCGAGGCTCGTATTCCCACGGGGCCGGCGCTCTCACAGGGCACAGCTCTTGGTGAGCCATGTGGAATGGAAATAATTCCTATAAAAAGCACTCTTTTGTTTTCATTTAAAAAATCATGTACCCACATTCTAATCCAAGTTCCACGCTTTCCCTAGTCGTTTTTTTTAAACACCCTAAGTTGTTATTTTGGAAGGCATGATAACAAAATAAACCAAACCAGAAAACGTTAAGAAGGCAAATTCATGATCCTTTTGCATTCCATTTAAATTTATATACAAGTCACTTCTGACGTTCTTTCCTTCCCATAAACCCACCCAACATTGAAACAAAATTTTTTTGTAGTTATAAACCCAACTCTTTTACTCAATATCACTTTTCATTTCATCATATATAATATTCCCATACACAAAATCAATATATCAGAAAGTAGTCTTGAAGCTCATATATGTATTGTACAATTTGGTTATCTTTTTTCTATTAGAAGACTTCAAATACCCTAGATAGTGAGTAAAAAAATAAATGTTACAATGTAATAACAGTGCTAGCAAAAAAATAAAAAATAAGGATAATCTAACCTTTAGTCTCATGGTGAAAATATGAAAAACAGAGAAGTGGGAATTTTAAGGAAGAAAAATTTTAAAGCAGAATTCAAGAAGAAGATTAAAACTAAACAGTTTTAAGATAATGGAAATAATAAGCAAACTTATTTGATATGAAGAAAATGAGTACTGCTTTTTTTGTAGCTTTAAAAATCAAGACTAATTTGTTGCATGAATAATGCTACATCACTGATATACTTATTGTAACACAATGAGTATTGCAAGCCTATTGTTACCCTGTATTTACTGAGCAGCACTGCTCATCACTGGTTTATAACACCTCATTTATAAATAGACACAAACTATCCATTTAAAGACAGTGACTGCAGTGTTTGGAAACAAGGCATCTAAGAATATAAAGTCACAATGTCTCACATTAGGGTTTTCTTTTATACTGGGAAGTTAAAAGGAGGTGGCTTTTAACGACATTTTAGTAATATTGGTAAAGGATTACAGTTTCTAAAAATCTGGTTTTTATATATTAAATTCTCCAGTATGCATTTCAGAGACCTGGGAAGTGAGAAACGGAAAGCGGAGGCCTTCTAAGCAGCCGCTGGGGCAGCGGAACCAGCACTGGGAGTCTGTGTGTGTGTTCTGGTCTGTCTTTCTTTTGGCTTCTTGCTGTCACCTTACTTGCCCAGGGTAGAGCAGGGTGAAGCACAGCACCAACCAGTCATCAAACACTCACTCTTTTTAGTGCTATACTGGGGTGTGGTCCTCTCCACAAAAAATGCAGGTGCTAACCCCATTTTCAGAGCCCAACATGAGGCACAGTGAGGACACGTAGCTGGCTGATAATAATGTACTATCAGGAGAACCATTTTCATTCTCCGGGCCAATTTCAGCCATCATGAGCCTGAGGCAGCCTCTCGCCAGCGCAGTGGGGAGCCACCTCCTGCTGTGTTGCAAAGCTAATGAGGGGAACTGAGGTCTCCCAGGAAACCCACTAAGTGTGGTTTTCTCTCCACTCTTTCCTCGCCTTGCCTTGGTCTGCTTATTGTTCATATGGTCAGTGTTCCTCTTCCCTGGGGCCAGCCTCCCATGCCAGGACAGCACCTCTTTCCCGTAAAAGGCAAAACAGGCAGGATGCTAAGGACGATTCTCTTTTCTCCTGTTTACAGGGCCCAAGAGGTCTGTACAGATGGGAACTGTCTACGTCAGCCCCGCTGGCTTCAGTTCAGCTCAACAGCTGAAGCCACTCATGTCTAGAAAAATCTGTAAGTCTCTGATGTAAGAGGGGCAGTGGGTGGGGCGGAAGGGCTTTTCTCCTGCAAAGTTCTCCCTACACATGACCATCACGCGGCACAAGCACGCACGCTGAACGTAACACACACACAACACCCCTTTCTCTCCTTCCGGAGCCTGGACGTTTGGACGGAATCTGACCGTGGTATTCCCTTGTTTTGCTGGTCCTGGTGGCATGCGGTACAAGGCAGTTGGTCTCCTAGGACAGGAGTCTATCGGCAGAAAACAGGAACCCCAAACTGTCTAAACCCCCCGAAGGAGCGTTCTGGGAGGGTCCTGGTAACAGTGGAAAGAAAATGCCCAGGTCACCAGGCTTTCTGTCACCTGGAAATACTAAACATTATAGAAAAGTAGTCCATATCTCATTCCTAAAAACGCCTTTAAAACCTCTACTGCTTCCCAACCTTGTATATCCTAAAATAACAAGCCAGAATTCAAAATCTCAGTGGCCCTCCTCTATTCTCTACACACACTCCTAGTGATGTGCAATCATACGTATCATACGAAGGAAGATTCACTTTCTACAATGTGGTAGCCACGTCCTGGTTTGGGGCTGAGGAATACCCCAGCCTTTCGGCTGATAGTATCAGAGACCAGCGTTTTCCTCTGCTCTGTGCTACGGTGACACCTTAGCGGTCTGGGCGCCTCTGGGCCTGTGCTCGACAGGTAACCTTTGGAGTCTATTCTCAGTCGGAGTCTTTTGACACTGAAATCTTTCCAGACTGCCTCCTGTACCTCCACGCCTTCCTACACTTAATACACCTACAGTAACCATTTCTTGATAACGGAAAGGCCTTCAGTGCGAACCTCCATCACTGTGCTGGGCTTCAATGTCATCTCTGTTCCAATGAAGGCTTTTAGATCATCCAGCAACGACTCGGCTGTTCGGAATCCCTTCTCCTTCTCTGCTCACTTCCTACTTCGGAGCTGTCCCTTCCCCCTAGGAGCTGGGGGCTATCTGACTGCTCACTGGCACAGTGCCTCCCATTTACGAAGTGATGAAAAACGTTTATTAATGAAATACAATGAGTGAATAAGTGAGACTGCTGGCTGGCTGGCTGGAGGGATGGGGAGCGTATCCTTATGGGCTTCAGTGTGCTGTTGAGTAACATGGGAAAGAAAGGAAAGGCCTTAAAATGGTTTGCTGACCTCACCACTTAGTGCATTTGGCCCCAGAGGCCTTTAAAAGGAAGGACGAGGGCTGTTTCCCAGCGTGCACTGCAGCGTGAATGTAGCTTTGCCTGAGCTAAAACCCTACAAACCCCTTTGCAGTCCTTGGACTCGACCCTCTAGCAAGCCCAACGTTTTTCCATTTACGTGGCCCAGGTGGGCAGGATCTGTCGGTCCCGTTATCCTCCACCTTAGGGCACTTATGCAGAAACAGTCAATGTTGATTTGCCGTTTTCATCACCCAAACATTCTAAGTCCTGGCACGTGTAAGCAGAGCGATGGGATGGGGGTGTCTCTCAAGTGGGGCCCCTCCTCAGAACTGCAGATCACAGGACATGCTGTGGCAGAGGCCTCTGCAACCCTGCCAGGACGGCCTCATGCCAGTCTCGGTCCAGATGTCAGGAGAGAAGTTCGGGCAGCTTTGACAAAGGGCTTTAGGCGTGAGTCCCTCACAGAACCCCGACAGGGGTCAGGGACTCGGAAGTAAGATACTACTTTCAGGGTGACATTACACACACCAGTAGCCACCATCAGAATTCAAATCGCCCAAAGAGTGGAATCACAGGCTTGTAAAATTAGAAAATGTGTTTATTTCAACTGCATGGTAACACGTTTGCCCCACATTTCATTGAGGTTTTGGTCTCGTTTGCACTCAGTTACGTCTTGTAACAGTAAATTGAATTCATGTAATCTCAGGAAGTGTTGACAGCATTCAGAAGGCACGCCCCTTGTGACTTTCATATTTTACAATTCTCTTTTCATTTAACTTTACAATTGTTTTTCTCAAATGCCTCTTTATATAGAAAATACATATATTGGTCAGGAAGATCAGAACGGGAATTTTCCAATAGGAATATACTGAGAAACAACAGATGAAAATGTTTACGCCAAAATACCAAAAGCGATTCAACTATTTAAGATATCCTGTGAGAGGCTAAACAGTATCCTTTTGTGTTGTTCTTTTGACTCATGATTAGACAAAGAGAAGTAATTTTAAGGTTAAAAGTTAAATGTTAGAAATGATCCTCCCCACCCAAATACTGCCCAGGAAACGCAATTTCAACATACGTCTCTTCCAGAAAAAAAAAAAAATCTTTGTATAAAATCACTTTGGTACCTCATCAGCATGAAGTCAAATCTCCTACAAAATAAATGCAGGAATCAAAGTGTTGGCTGAGATAAAAGCTTGTATGAGATAAAGGGTGTGAGCTCTCCTGGTGCTTTAAGAGGTGTGGTGTCCCAGACAGGATGAATTATATGGTCCTAAGGTGCAAATCTCATCACTCAGTTTGGCTGTTGGTCTCCTTTTCAAACAAGATACCATGCAGGTTATAATGTCCATATCAAAATCAATTTTTTAAAAAAGTACAGCTATTTGAATGAGACATTATTTTAAATATCAATGATACCTATAATGTGGAAATCTCAGAATGCTATTTGGTCATTTCAGTGAGACACTGATATACTTGGTCAAGAATATCCATATTCGTATCAGCCTAAGAAAAATATTAAATATGTTTGATTTGAAGCAGGAATAGAAACAGTGTCCATTACTCTTTGATACGGCTGGGATGCTCTCAGTTAGAATTTACACTGATAACAAATGTGTCTTTCTAAGTTGGGTGATAACCTTAATATAAAGCTACAAGTAGCAGTCTGTAACTTAAAAGCAGGAGGTGATGTGGTGAGTGATTGTCCTACGGTGCGGCTGTATCGATCGATCCAGGGTGTTTCAGACATCTCAGCAGCCCAGATAGCCGAGTCTCACTGCGGGATTCACTGTGCAGGCCCAGCCCCTCTAACTCTGCCTGACGAGCCTCAGCTCACGACAAGGAGCAGTCTTCTTTGCTCTTACCCTTCCCATCTCTGCCTCTTGTCTCTTCTCTGCTCTAGGAATTGAAGTCTCCCAACTCACCTGCTGGTGCCAAGTCATCACTGTCTAGACTAATACTATCGACGTCCATTGAGGGCCTTCCGTTTCCTAGCAGGGCCCCGTGAGACACCTCCTCAGCCCCTGGCTCTGGGGGGCTGCCTGGAGTGGCACCCTCTTCTGCAGCACCCCCTTTTCTAACACCCTCGTCTACTCTGTCACCACCGGCACCGGTGCCTGCTGCTTGAACCGCAGTGCCTTCCAAAGGCAACGGTTCTCCCTCGGCTAGGACTGTCCCTGCCTCAGTGGTGACGTGGTTGTCTTCTCGGTCAAGTCTGCCATCTAACTCAATTTTAGGACTCCCTGGACAATTGATGTTTTCACTGCTTCCTGCTACAACGTTCTGCTTTGGAGCTTTAGGTGCCGTGTGCTGGGTTTCTGCACCTGACTTGCTGTCCGTCGATTTTACCTGCTCCTCCTCGCCTTGGTTCTGAAATGTTAACTCTTTTTCAACATCCGTAGGGGTCTCCACAGGTGCCGCTGACTTCTTCTTCTTGTTTTTCTTTTTCTTGCTTTTTGTCTTCTTGTGTGGAGAATCCGGTGCTTCTCCCTGTCGGTTTTTCTTTTCTTCACTGTGTTCTTTCCTACCTAGGGGTTCAGCCTGGGCATCTACTCCACTTGGACCTTTTGCCTCCTGAGCGCTGCTCTTGGCTGCTGGGCAAGAGGGAGTGGTTTGGACTTCTGTCCGGATTGGTTTGTCACCCCTTAATCCTCTTCCTGCACCCTCGTCTTTGGTGTTCTCCCCACCGACTCCTGTGCTCTGAACTGGGGCTTCCCCAGGCTCAGCCGCTTCCTGGTTGGCGAACTCCTTCTCTGAACCACGCCCTGGGCTTGGGTCCAACTCTCTGGCAACACCTGCCGTACATCTTTCATCACGACTCTCTGTGTCCCTGTTATGCCTTGGAGGACTTGGGGCCTCTGTGCCCACTTGCTCCCCCAATCCAGTTAGCTCTGCCTCCACCATGCCCTGTGAGGGGTTCCCACTTGGCTCCCCAGCGTCTGTGCTACCCACCCTCTCGACTTCAGATAATAGCAAAGGAGCAGATTTCTCATCTGGTTGTGTGCTAACCTCTCCCAAATTGGTTTTAAAATCTTGTTTTTCTTGTTCTGGTTCTTTTGCAGATTTTCCATCTTGGTTTTTGAACTCCAAGGCATTACAAGTGCCCTGCCCAATCCCAGGACCAGGGATCTCACTACCTGATTCACCCAAAGGTTTGGGTTGCTCAAGCGAAGCCCCACCTGGGGTGCTTATGACCTCATTTGACCCAACCTGCTCTGTATATTCAATGAAGGACGTGCTGGCTAGAATGTGGCTTTGAATCTGCTCCCCATTGGTAGCATTTGCTAAAGTTCCTAGAGACGGGGCACTGTCTTCAGAGGTTTTCTGGTCCTCACCATTGTCACCAGGATGGAACACCTCTGTGTCCACACAATCCTTTACTGGGTCCGCTTTGTGCTGTTCTTGCTCAGTATTCTGTAAGATTTCTCTTTTCCCCACATTCTCCACAATTTCATTTTTCACCTCCACTTCCTTGGCTCTTCCTAAAAGACCATTGAGAAAAGTGAAGGGACCCCATGATGCAGTGACCACTTAATATACATAACGTAAATACAAGTTCTCATTCCCACCAGGCCCCATTCCTCGAGAGACAGAGTCATCAAAGAGTCCCCCGGAACAAGCGCTGGCCAGCTCTGTGCCGCAAAGCAGCCATTGCATCGGCAAGTGTTCCACCAGCCAAGACCACGGCCACTACCTCGAAGGCAAGTGGCTACTGCTGCCATCTTGGGTGAACTGATTCTCAAGGTGAAGTTAAGTTTTAACACATAGAAAGAGCACTGGATCAGGCAGCCAAACAATCCAAAATGATAAATTTAAGAAGGACTTAAGGTCCGCGTGCCCATTGTCACTTCCAACGCATGTCTCGACAACCCATATGTTTTCAGCGGTAACACTGTACTGCGTCTCACACAGCCCCCAAAGCAGCTTTCACATTATTTTTGAAAGGATCATTCAGCTCATCTTAAGAAACTCAGCCTCAAGGTCAAGCTCAAGGAAGACACTTTTGCCACAACTCACTTGAGGTCAAAAGAAATCCACCGTCCACCTCAGTATCTACTGAGAAAGCAGCCCAGGCCCTAAATAACTTCACTCCATTCCCGAAGGGGAGTCCCAGCAGGAGGCAAACGCTTAAAATCAGGATGGCCACTTAATCAATTAATGATTTATCAATTAAAGAATTATGATAAAGAGCGTGTCGCTGTTTTGGAATGAAGCTGTATTTTAGATTCTTCAAGCAAACAAAACCCCAGAATATAAGATGCCAAGCTACTGAAAGTCAGTGCTTGGTAACGTTCTAGCCCAGTGGTCTCCACGGTGGGTTCACTTACCCCGGGGGATACGGGGAAAGTAAGGAGGGCTTCAACTTAGAGCTTATTTTGTCACACCTTTAAACATTTCTATTAGTGTGTGTTTTATCATGTATGTTTTATATTAATGAAATATTATACACATATAAATTAAAAATAAACACATATACTGGGAAGTTCCCACAGTTCTTTACTGATAGTGGTATGCTATCAAAACCCACTGGGAGACCACATACAAAACTGACATTTCTGGTTCTTTAAGTGTTTGTTTCACAACGGTTATCAAAGATTTACAAAATGTGTACTTGAACAAGAGCAGCACGGTAGAATTCCCAGCTGCTTCGGTAGCTAATATAAAGGCGTGATAGAAATTAATCAAGTTATCTTCTTTCAGCAACTTTTACACAATTGAAAGAGCTGTATTCTTTCAATGGTCATAAAGAGGCTGAGATACCCCCTGGGAAACAAGTCCTCAGAGGCTGGGCCCACAGCTTCCAGAAATAAAAAGAAGATGGAAGTTTCCAGGTGGAAATGAAAGTGACGGCCCGACCTTACTCTGGCCTCACTGTAAAAGCTGGGACACACTGGTGACCAGTGACCAGGGTGGCCTCCTATGCGGCTGCAACTTCTTCGGGCTGCACACCAGATTTTAAAGGTTTATCCCAGAGCAAATAATATGTCAAATGGTCATCAGTAAATCTTTGCAGATATTTGCGAATTGTATAAAATATTCCTACAATCTACTACAATTTATATTCTTTCAGTAGCAAAAAATGTGACTTACAAAGGAATGTCACCTCTGACAAAGGGGCAGACATATTCACTCTTGCTGGTCAGGGACACCCTTCACACTGACCACACTCGCTACCCAGCGCTGTCTGCCCATCTCAAGTGGTACCTTGAGAATGGCAACCAAGACGTCCTGTCACAGCCTCAACCTGCTGCCCACAGGCACCTCATACCCTCAGAACGCTTCCTGGTGTGTGGGACGTGCACTGCTGCTTTGCAAACATGATAAAGTAACTTACTCTCCAGCCTCTGCTACTCTGAGTTTTTGACAATTCTGTAACAGGATAAGTTAAAAAGCCATACTTGGCACAGATCCGAGGAAAACCAGATAGTGCTGTCAAAATTGTCACTTAGCTTTGAGGCTATTTTCCTTGCATTCACAGTCTCACTCGGTAGCTTTGAGAAGCATGAGAAAAGTACCCTTCAGCCATGTGTGGGAGCACTGAGCAGAGATGCACGCCAGACAACACACGTGGGTGATCGCATCGTTTGGCAAGGAAACGCTCATGAGGTGACAGGACAAATGGCATGCCGTGTGACTGTTAATCGATCAGTGATGATTACTCTAGTTTTAATAATGCATGGAGGGTGAATCAGTGCTGGTTGGAAGATGACAGGATCCAAAGGGAAACAAGGACTTACCTAGGGTCCCATCCCCGGTCGCCTTGAGGGCATTCAGCTCTTCTTTCGTCATCTTGGTGGGACCTTGGTATCCAACATTATTTAGAGTGTCTGGAGTCTCTCCATTGGTAGCTATTTCTGAATTTAGAATTATTCCATGTTTCTGGCAACAAAAACAGGCTCATTGTAATACTCGCTGAGTGATATTAGGTTAAAGTCTATTTTATTAATAATAATTTAAAAAGAAACTTCCTCTCCTGGAGTAGAGGAAAGTTCTACAGAGTCAAGAAGAGTTAGGCGCCACCCTCGTGAATATGCTATCAACACACACAGCCACACACACACACAGGGGACGTCTCCAGCAAGGGCTGCTTCCGTCCTAGGTGTCCCCATCCATGTCCCAATGTGTTGGTGACCAGGCACTTTCAACAGGTACCCTTTGTACCTGGAGGTGGTGGCCTGAGGCTGCCACAGAGTAGAGCATCAGGCAACTAACTGTAAAGTGACCTTGCCTTTTATAACCCTGGTTGCCTTCTTTAAAAAGAGACACAGACATAAAGAAAGGCGTATGTATTCCGTGTGGAATGAACGAGACTTTATGTTAAGGCAGGGCTTAAGAAGTGGCTAGAATGTTTGCTATATTGAAAAGAAATATAACTCATGCCCACTCCATAGTGACAAACTTTAAACAGCTGCAGTGCACAACTCCAGGGTCCCCGCTTACCACGGACGCGTGGCTCACTGCCCCCTGCTGCTCACAGCTCCTCCTCTTGTGCTTGGAACAGCCCCCAACACTGCACTCTCCGCCCTGAAGGTGGCGCTGTCAGGAAGCTGAGCTCTAAGCCCGTTCCCTCTGGCTCCCGGTTCTGGCCTTGGCCGCTGGATGTAAGCGGCTGACGCTGATATGTGTCCGCTGACTATCCAGGAATCTGCCCACCCAGAGCTCTGGCCCGCACTCCTGCCCACTGGTTTTTGTCCTTTACTCGGTGTCCAGCCAGCAGCCGAAGACCTTGACACGGCCCAGACAGGACACGGGGCTTTCCCACAAAGTCTAAACAGTGTGCTCCTCACCCATACCACTGTTCAGCTAGAGAAGTCCTTAAACTTGAGCCTTTACTACATAAGAAACAAAAACACTCTCTAACTTTGAGTAATGGCCTGAGAAACACTTTAGACAGTGGATCAAAACATTTTTGGAAATCGGACTTGCTTTCGAACTCAGAGAGGTGCCTGTTGAACATCGAAAGGCCACGGGCTGACTCCATGGAACCTGGGTTTACTTTACACGTTTCTTCTTCGGTGTCAGTTAACCGAAGATTTGAATTTATGATCACAACTAAAATCAGTGACACACACGCCAGTCCACACACACATTCATTCTTGAGAATCCCAGAATTTGCTGCTGTCACCAGGATGGTTTGTTTGTTTGTTTGTTTATCCGTTCTTTGGCTTCATACCTTTATCTCCTCTTTCAGCATGACTACTTCTTCTCTAAGATCATCTCGTTCACTCCTGATGGAATCAAAGAACTCTTTCTGCCTCTCTAATGCCTGAGTGAGTAGCAGAGCAAAGAGAGAAGGTTCGCACAGGTAAGCAGAGGACCTCAGAAGCAGAGCGGGGAGGAGGCGTCTACTACGTAAAACGCGGACCAGCAAAGCATTAGACACAATATGCTTAAAGATATAAACAAAACCAAGTGAAAAGCTCTTCACGGACTTCATGCCAGCCCAGAAATGCTCCTTGAAAGACAAGAACAACCCAAGGTACGGAGCTATTTCATTTGCATGATTCTAGCAGTTTCACAGCCTCCTTAGAGAATTAACAGGAGCCATGTGCCCATTTAAATGAGAGTAAATAAAGAATATGAAGGAATGCTGGGGAACCCCCAGGGGCAACTATCCGAGCAATGTAGACTATTTTGCTATGTCAATTCTTGGCATTTGTGGTCACAGACAAACACAGAGTGGTGTTACAGCAAACACTACACGTGCCCATGCGTGCACACTCGCCCATGCATGCACATACGTGCACATACGTGCACATGTGCCTATGCGTGCACATGCGCCCATGTGCACACGCGCCCATGTACACCCAATTCTAAGTGTGGGCGAGCACATCAGAGTGACGACCAGGGCAGCTTCACGATGTCAAAGCACGGATGAGCCTGAGGGCCTCTGGGGACCTCCATCAGAGCTACATGGCATAGGTCACTATGTTTTGGAAGCCATTGCCACTGTGGCGCATAGCAGTTACTTGAAGTGGGTTCCTTTCTTCCTACTCATCACTCCCCGATGCAGGGGGGCTGCCTCTTTTTTTCTTGTGGAGAGAGAGGGTGTGAGGCCTCCCTGGGGCGATTTCAAGGTGGGGTTCAGTGGGGCACAGCACAAGCCACCGGGCAGCTTCCTCCAATCCCTTTGAGATAAAGCCCAGGTGACACCGGGCAGGGAATTCCAAGAGGTCTGGGCCTCCACATGGTCACCCTGCCGGAGTGTCTCCCTCACTCTGGGGTCTCGGTCTGCCACTGCCCGCCCCCCCCACCCCAGGACAAGCAGCCTGGTGAATGCTGACAAATCAGTGTTTCCAGCAGAAGCCAACTTCCAATTCCGACTTAGCGTGAACTTGGGTGAGTGAGCGTGTTTGCTGCATACTTCCTGCACGTCATGCGTGGGGTGGCACGCACACTCATACAGGCACTTCTGCAAATCAAGGCTCCGAACGCAGCATTTGCTAAGCAGACTGCCCATGACTTTCCCGAGATTTGAGAGTCCTACCCCTATCTTTTTCTCTTTCCACTCTATTGTTTCCTGAAGATCAGAAATCTCCCTGATATAACTCGCCTGTTTCTGCTGTAGCTGTCGGATTTCCTGAAGAATAGGAACAGATAGGAAGAAAGCAGATAAAGAGTTAGACAGGAAGGAAACCCCAGCTAGACCTTCCGAGAACCCTGACAATCAATGGCCAACACACACTTGTGGAGGTGCCAGCACATTCTCTGTCACTAATCGAGTTCATTCTCAGCATCCCCATACTTTTTCTGGGTCCTTCTCCCCAGCTCCAAGAAGTATAGGAAGAAAACCCGCCTGGGTGAAATTCTTACTTAGAGGCACTGAAGTTCTGATCGAGTTAAAAAGTTAAAAATCAACCCTGTATGCGTTTCCTATTGCTGCTTTAACAAGCTACCATAAATTCAGTGGCTTAAAACAACATGAATATATTTGCCTACAGTTCTGGAGCTCAGAAGTCCAAAACGAGTCTTATGGGCTGAGATCAAGGTGTGGGCAGGCCTGAGTTCTTTTCCAGAGGCTCCAGGGGACAACGCATTTCTTCCCCCCTTTTAGCTTCTAGAGGCACCCACAGTCCTTGGCTCATGGTGGCTCCGACCTCTGCTTCCATCATTGTCACACCCCCTAGCTCTGCCTCTGACTTTTCTGACTCCCTTTTATAAGGACCCTGTGAAACATAAGGCCAAATCTCCAGAAGCAAACAAAACCACCAAAGAATGAGACTCTTCACCAATGAAAGAAACTGGACTCCTTAAGCAGGGCGTGGAGGGGTAGCCTAAGCCCTCCATTTTCAAGTAGGCCAGTATCGTGAGTAATGAACCAACAAAATGCAAATTAACAAAAGAAAGAGAAAGCGGGGAAGTCACCTACCTCGAGCATTTCCTCTCTCTGCCTCAGGGCCGCTTTCACTTCAGCAAACTGGAACTGCAGGAGGCTGTGGGCATGCTTTTCCCTTTCAAACTCCTAGGAGGGAGGGAGAACCAGTCACGTTGCAGTGGGAGCGCGGCTTTCGTCACTCTAGTTCCAATTGCCGTGATTTACATTTGCCGTGCAACAAGTAACCCGTCACCACGTCATCGCAATTTTTAAGGCCTTTGTAACAACATGAACCATTTCTCTGGACTTTCTAGAAGATGCCCCAGTGATTTACGGCAAAATGAACGGAGGAGCTGACGGAAGTGACAGAGCTTCCCTGGTGCGCTCGGTAAGTGATGCCCCAGGAAGGTGTTGAAGGCCCGAGGAGGCAGCTTTGCAAAGGACTTATAATAAAATTACCCCCTATTCTGAAATATGACAAAGAGTACTCTTTGGGATAAAATGGGGGGTAAATACGTCTGTTTGGCAAGCTCATCACATTAACAGTGGGGAGCCCACTCTGTGCTCCAGGAGCAAAACAGAAAAAGTGAGGAAGCAAAGTGCTTGGCAGCACCCAGTGCCCCCCACGGCCCCTCCTCTCTCTGAGACCCTGCTCAGAGACCGGGCAACACGGCCTTTCTGATATCTCAGAGACCGGGCAACACGGCCTTTCTGATATCCTGCTTGGCTCAGTCACAGCAGCACAGTCCCTAACGATGGTTTGGTACCCAACTAACTGCCGGCAGCTTAGGGGACAGCAGGGTTCACCTCCCTGGATCCGTGAGCTGGGTGACTTGAGAAGGAATTTGACCTTAGCTTCTGCTTGCCCACTCTCTGAAGCCTGGTCCTCTCCTAGCTGTGACAAGGCCCTTCCTGTTGGGTTTTGCTTGGCCTGTGGTCTCCAGCTTGGGGCAACTTTCCAGGATCACCCACCTTCTCTGGAACTAGATCTGGGGGTCCCTGGTCTACTTGCTGATGCCTCCACGAGGACATACTAGGAGCATCTGGAGTGTGTGATAGTCCCCTCCCGCCCCGCTGAGCCTCAGAGCACGCTCTCTGCCCCTCTGCTCCCGCATGAAGTCGGTTTCATGGAAAGCTCCTCCTTTCTTTCCAAGTTCAGCTGTCAGGAACGTCCTGGATGGAATTCCCCTTCAGCTTCTAATTTAATTCTACAGCCATCAGGGAGGAGGCCTCAGAGCTGGTTCCAGGACCTGATTTTAACTCTTGGGATTTAGAGCACATAGCTTTTTTTTTTTTTTTTAAAGATAATGATACGAATTAAATTTTCTGTTTATCTCATCAACTCTGAAAAATTGGACAATAGTCTAGGGTTTGATAAACCAAGTAATTCCCCAAAATACGAAAATCAAGTATTCCTTGCTCTGTATGTCGCAGAGAATATCTAAGCCCAGCCTTTATCAGACGGGTCTGCTTTCATTCATCTGAACCTGTGCTCATGCTTTACGCTGATATCAACAATTCATTCCAGTGCTTCTTAATGAAAGCCCCCCCAAAACTCTATCCTCTTCTGAGCTTACGGAAAGTATTTGATTCTTAAATGGATTAATTGTGCTTTTCCCCCATCGGCAGAAAATAAATGAACATAACTTTCTTAAAATCTCTGATATTGGCAATTGACTATTTTTCTATGGCGTTAAGAGATAACAAAATCAAAACCAGGAAACGTATACTAATAGGAAAACCCTGAAAAGCGCAATCATGCCTGATTCAAGCACATTGGTTCTTCCGTAGGCATGGTTTTTTCATGGTTATGATTTTACCTTACATGCAAAACACAGATGTCCTAGTAAAATCGCCTCTAGTTTACATGTTTACAAATTTGCGTATCAATATTTAAAGTTCTTCAGCAAAAAGCACGATATGCTTCTTTTCAGATATTTGGGCTTCCTGGACAAATGGAGAATCACTGTTTAAACACACACACACACACACACACACACACACAGGAAAACACAAAGCTCCATCTTTATGGAATCCGAAAACACACACTCACCGTATATACATACACCATATACATGTTTATATACATATTCTACCACTCTTGCACATAGCATATGTGTGCATCTTACCACTGTTAACATACACTCTATATTAAGCCCTCATACTATCCAACGTGTACTACATGCATTTCTTTTCTAGCACTCTTAGCTAAACCGTTTACAGGTACGTGTATATTCCGCCCGCTTCGCCAGCTGGCGCTCACTTTGGTTTTCTCCTCGTACTGTCTCCTGGACTCAGCCAGCTGTTCTTCAAGCTCCAGCAGCGTGTCCTTCAGGGTGTCGACCTGGTACATGAAGTTTGTCTTTTCATTGTCCAGCTGAGCGTTGGAGACCATGGCCTTCTTGTACTTCTCCTCAACCTCTGCGAGCGAGTCCTGCGGAAACCAGGTCATAGTTTTGAAATTGTAGTAAGAAAATGAAAACAAAGGTTAGCTCCACATTCTTAAAAACAAAAAAAAACCTCAGCCTTAAATTCAGACTTGGTTTCTGAGAGCCAATGAATCAAAATAGGAAACACCTGGCAGTTTCAACGCACATGATGCCCCCCCACCCCCACCCCAGTCCTTTTCAATCTGATCAAATTCTCATCCCTCAGAAAATTAGTTATTAGCTGCGTCTAGGGACGAAAACAGTTTACGGAGTCACGAGGACAAGGGAGACACCTGGATGGAAAGGGTTCTGGTCACAGAGCAGAGTCCTGACTCCATGATTCAGTAGCCGGCTGCAGTGGGCTGGGCTGTTCAACAGGTTTCTGACGTCATCACTCAAGATACGTGACCAGAACTGGGGACGGAGCCAGCACGTGACCACTGGGAGTACCAAACCCTGCCACAAGCTGCCGATGACCCCTGCCCGAGCGTAGGAACCAGGAAAGGATTAAGTGGCATTTCAGATTTTCAACCCATAGGGAAAGTAAACATGGTACGCAGGCCTCACTGGGTGAAAAGACGAAGGTCGTTCCTTTGAAAGGGCAGCCCAGGGAAAGACAGAGGCTTGCAAGATACGCACGGCCCTCACGTGGCTCCCACCCTTGCAGGTCAGGAACAGAGGGAACATAGCAGCGTCTAGATCCCCAAACAGATCGGGGGGAGGCATTCCAGAAAAGAGCGCAGCGTCCCCAGGTATCAACCACCCACAGCTAAAGAGGGTGGGCGCTGCTTGGTCAGGCGTCTCGGGTGCTACCAGGAGGCTTCATAGACCAGTGCTGGTCTCACCTGCACTTACAAACCAGGGCAGCGATTTAGGGGGGGCCAGTGATTCCTGGGCTGCTGCACTGGCTCCCTTTTCATATGACTTGAAAGCCAGAGTCATAATTTCCCTGTGTTTTCAAAAGAAGTGATAAATATGAAAGTGATCAATCAAGTCCTGTGATTTGTCACCTCCTCTGTTGGGTGCCCCTGTGATACTGAAGTCACAGGATGTTTCAGGGACGCTGGGCAGCTGGAAAGGAAGCAACAGGCTTGCCGTCTACTGCTAGATCCATGGTCGGCCATAAGCTGCCCAGTGAAGACAGGGGACGCAGCCCCTCACTATTCACCTTACCTTCAAGGAATAAGGCAACTAAATTTCCTAGCTGGCACAACGCAGTAATTCCACATCTTATGAGTGGTGTGTATTTATTCAAATAAATCCGAGACGATGCACAGACACCGTATGTTACAGTATGCAAATAATTCGGATGTTTCCGAAGCACGGCAATGAGGGCTGTGCTATTGGTAGACATCAGCTACTTTGAGAAGCAAACGCAGTGAAGCATTGGGTGTGTGTAACCACTACGGAAAGCGAAGAAATCCAAAAACCGTTCCTCAAGTGTATGGCGCATTCCTGTGAGGGACAGAGGAACTGGTTTGCAGCCGGGGGAGGGAGGGTGAGGACGGGACGTGCATCAGGAAATGTGTTAGCAGCTTCCACTGAGGAGGTGCAGAGTTTGGTCTTGGCCCAAAAGCTGCGCCGGGGAAACGAAGCATGCACACACCATGCTAGCCAGCACCCCTGCCACCCGCAGTCCTCGGACCGTCTGGGGCCCCTTTAGAGTAAGCACGTGGTTTGCGTGTCTTCCCTGGGGTTGTGCTAGGATAAGTCGGGTTAGTACGTGAGCCCACACTTCTGCACACTGGTACCTTCATCTCTTTCAGACCCTGCATGTATCTGCCTTCTACATCCTGAATCTGGTCCTTTATCTCATTAAGTTCCTGGGGAAATGGCAAAAAAGGCACGTGAGGTCAGGGGGAAAAGTGACAAGACCACAAGGACAGAGGCGAGTCTCTAAGCCTTCTGACTCCTGGGCAACTTCCCTTGGGGGGGGGGGGTGGCAGTCCGAGCAGCGAGTTTCTTCCTATTTTCTTAAGGATTAAAGGAAAAGAAAGGAAATGTCCACACGGCAAAGATTAAAATGTAGGCGTTTCTCATATGAAAATTTCCCACAATTTTATAAAATTTAGGTGTATCTCACGATACAGTTTTGCACAGTTTTACGAAACAGGCAAAAGAGTTGAAAACAGAACAAGTTACGCGACTTGTATCTCAGCTCATTCAAGCTCTTTGAGCTCCCACTCTGTCTCGATACAGTAAGGTCCTGAAGACAGAGACGAACCATGCTGTGTCCTGCATGCC